CGACAATTAGCATGTTGAAACTATTAGAACTGTATTTGATACAGTTCAGTAAACTGTTTCTTTCCTTTCTCCCTACTACTATTGCTTATAGCTTTTCTGCTTCTATATCATTGTCATTTCTGATGTACGTCGAATTGGTACTTCTGCTCCGTTGAATCATCTTTAGAATTGAATTCAAATTAAACATTCCCCAGTGATTTCATTTTTCCCTTAACTCTTCCATTGATTTTAACGAATTCAGCTATTTGAAATGGAAATCGATAAAGGAATCGAAAACATTTTTTGCAAGAAAGCAAAAACATCGAAATTCTTTTTTTTTCTTTTTTTTTTGCAAACTAACTATGAACAGATCTATTCAGAAAATAATTCCTTTAAGAGAAAATTTGACTTAACAGTATTAATTGTATCAAACAAACGATGCCTATTATTTACATTTATTTGATTTGATATCAAAAGAATAATGCAAATATGTTTGAGAAAATTTCGTTGTAAAAATTTGAATGTTGAAAATTTGAATTTTAAAGCTAAATTTTTCTTTGAAAATTTAAAAAATTGAATTAACTGTTAAAAATTTGAACTTACCTAAAAGATTCCACGCACGAAGAATTCTTTCCTTTTTACAATTTCGAAACGCTTTTATAAATCATTAAGAAAAAAATTATTATATACATACTATTCACATTTATTTGATTTAATAACAAAGAATGTAAAATTTTTTTTTTTTTTGATTTCTTTTCAAATACTTTTACAAAAATTTTGTAAATATTACAAAATTTCATTTGGATTAAAAGCTAAAAAGGTGCATTAATGGATGTTATTTGCAACATTATTATACATATAAATAAATTACATATTACCGTACTATTATTTATCAGTATTACGATAGAAATGCAGCTAAAGTAGTATTAGTTATTATTGCACAAAGTTTATTTGATAACATATGTGATTAGATGGTTGGGTGGAATATTTATCCACTTAATTACAGTAATTAATTTTTGAATATTCGATCTTCAAATTGCAATACTTACAAATGTTGCGGAAGGTTACGTGATAAAGTAAGTGTCTTTTACACTAATTATCAGTATTATTACAATTTCTTTGTTAAACACAATGTCTAAAAATGGAAAAATTTATATTTTTCTTTTTTCAGGAAGCATTCTGGGTAATAGCATTTCAGGTTTCATTTCAGGTTTCATTTCAGGTATTTGATTCAGAGTTGCAAAAATTTTCTCTTTATTTCCACCTCAAATTTGGGTGATTAAAGTGTGAAATAAAACGAAACAATGTTAATATCGTAAAATTTTTAAAATTACAAAATTAACATGTAAAAACTAAACCAAAAAAAAACTTCAAGAAGTTCATTTTATTTTTTTTTATTTTTGCTGTGGCGAGAAAAGAAAAAAGGAAAAAGGAAAAAAAGACAAATTTAAATAAAAAAAAAGAAAAAAGACAAATTGAAAAAAAAAGAACGAACTGTAATTTATTGTTTGCTATTTAAGCAAAATTATAGAAATGAATAATAATTACATCCTTTTTCATATAATTCAATTTTTAATTTATTCAAATGTAAATAGAGAATGAATCCAAAGTTCATTGCAAAAAAAAAATAAAATAAAGACAAACATTGTAAACTTCATTATACATGTATTAATCTAGAATTTTTCCAATCATTTTTTTCACGCAATTTTATTTTAATTTAATTTTTGAATTCACATTCAAATAAATAATTTAAGTTATCATATTTACAAAAGTGGAAAAATTTGTATTTTCTTGGAAATATTTTGTCGCTGCATGACACCAGAATTGCAAAAATTTTTCTTTTTAATTTTTACCACAAAACTAAATAATTAAATCATTAGATGAAAAAAAGAAAACAATATTAATGTCATATAATAATTAAAAATTACAAAAGATAAATTAACATGCAAGAGACTAATTAGGCAAATAAATGAAAGAAAGAAAGAAAGAATGTCATCCTATTCTTTGTTATATCCCTCTAAAGGTTGATTTTAATGATTGCAATAATTAGCGTTTTGTTTTTATATCGATATAGCTTTTGCTATATCGGTACAGCGCTTTATTAGTACATGCTAATATAAGCACTCTTAGCACTATATACATTGGTCAACAATTGAGCACATATACAATTCCTATATGCACAATATGATTAGCATGTTATTGATATAGAAAAGAGGTTTAGATAATTTCTAAATCACTAAATTACGATTAAATTTGGTAATTACTAATTAATATATCACAATACATTCACGTATAAATCATTGTATTTTCCTTTATTGTGGAATTTCGAGTTTATTCATGAATGTCATACTGTAATTAATTTCTCCTACAAATAAATCATATTTGAAATATATAATTTCTTATACTAATTCTATCAAAATTACTCAAGAAGTTAGCAATGTTATCTAGTGATTTACCTGACGATGTAACTAAAGCAAAGGGATGAAGAGTTTCATAGCGTCCGTTTGCATTCTTCCGTTGTGTATCACATGTCGTCACTGTTGTTGCCTTCACATGAGGATTCGAGTATTGCATTTCCGATTTTATGTTCTTTTATTTGAAAGTAATTGTTATTTACTTCTTACTAGTTATAAGTCTAAGTTTCCATTTCAAAGTTGATTGAATGGAAAGAGTTTGTAACAATTACTCAATGATTGTTGTTGAATTAAATGTTTGCAATGAGTACTTGATTTTCTATTTAAGGTTTAGTGAAAAGAAAAAGTTGGTTAATTTTGAATGTGTTATTTGTATGGGTTGTAAAATATTTTGATGAGCTATGCTTAGTTTGGAGAAGTTTACTTCTTAAATTTTCGCCGGAGATTTGAAGTGGAGAATTTTCATAGTGTATGCACAATTATTTGGTTTTTTTCTTCTTTTTTTTATTGCTATGGTGCTTTTCAGTGTATCCTAATTATTCCAAAAATTCGTCACTTTGAAATAGTTCTAATATATAATCTGTGTTTTCTTCCTCTATAATTGTTGGGCTGAGTTGTAAATTTTGATTTATTGCATCTTGTTGTTTTCTTAAAAATTTGTTCAAACAATTTGATCATGCTGTTTTTAATTCATGCATTACAAATGCATATTTCGTTTTATTTTGTTGCATATTTATGCACTTATTCTATCAAGTTTTACGGTGTTTGAACGTGATCCTCTTTGCTATCATTTGACATATGTTTTGACAGAAAATAATATGGAAGAAGCAAGTACTTCATCAGTATTCAATTTGTCTGTATCCGCGATGTATCAATTATGTGGTCAACCGGTAGCTGTTGATTTGGTCAATAATAAAACTGTTTGTGGTAATATATTCACATTTGATCCAATCAGTCATTCTGTTGTAATCATTGTTTTCGCATGTAACACAGGTATGGTCATAAATATTGCTTAGCCGAATCTGATTAAATTAATGATCCGATTCCAGTTAAATTTGTGCCATTTCCGTTTTTCGGTCTTTGTATCTCTTTTTAAGTTTCCGAATCCTTTGCTGGTAGAGGGAGGTATGCAGCAGAGTGCCTATAAAGAATGCTGGGAAATTTTTTATGATCTATATTGGTAAAATGGATCATGTCGTAGTAGTGTTCATAGACAATGTATATGGAAAATAGAATTTTATGTACATAATATTATTCATTTCAGAGCCAAGAACAGTGAAAATTGTTCCCGGTATTTCGATAAAACATTTGAGAAAATTGGATGATGATCAGTTACCGGATGGATGCATTAAAAAAACATCGGAACTGGAATGTTGGCTTGGGAAGTTACTTAGAGCAGCACCGCAATCATCCAAACAACAAGTTTCAGAGAGGTGTTTTTTCCGTAAACTTCGAATTTCTAATGCAAGTATTTTCAATAATGACTTCTTTAAAATAGTTATATTTATCTCTTTAAAATGATTTTATTTAAACGTCACTCCGTGCTGCCACCTGTGTTATTCTTTTCCATCGTTTTTGAGAAATTGTTTTCTTTTTTTGCTGTACGTCAAAATTATTATATATGTGCGGAATGGGTTTCATAGTACGTTGGTGCCGAAAGAGCAACATATAATTTTCGAGAAGTTTCAGTGTAAACATCAAGTATTTGGTTCAATCCACGTAGTTTTTTGGCTTTAGAAGTTAACCTTAGCTATTTAAGTAACGCTAAATTCGATCACCTGATATATGCATTATTTTTTAGACGGAAAAGGTTGATTGAATGGTTAGAACAGAATCAGATCCGAGTAAAAAGCAATGATGACGGATCAGTCACTGTGTTTGATGCTGTGCGGATTGTCGCACCCTTTACGGCAGAGGATTGTTTTTGTGACAATGCTGTCATTTTATCGAGAATGAAAAGATTGATCTCGAAAGTTCCCGAAATGAGCACTTCATCAAGAATTTAATTTATCTGTACAATTGATTGAGACTTCATTTGCTATTGCTTTTGATTTTTTTCATTATTATCGTACATGTGCAGTTGTTAATAAACACAGAAGATATGGATTTTTCTTTGATCATTTGATGTTTTTATGGTGGAATTTACATCATCCTTAGAGGAATACTTCCAACTTTTGTTATCTTACCAGGAAACTTACTACTCCAGCTTTACAGATTTTTCAACTTTCTCAGCTGTTTCGGTAACCCTTTTGAGTTATAAGGTTTTGTTTCCTCAGAAGTTGTGGTTAAAGCTTTATTCATCAGGTTTTTGGTATAAGATGATAGATAGACCGATTTACTAGCGTTAGTGGAAAATGATGTTTGAGAGTTGACTGTCCTGTTTAGTAACTAGTTTAGGCATTTTCATTAAATGAATAGTTACCAAAATACCAAAACTATCGATGAACAAGCGTCTGCTATACTTGCTATATCATTTATAGATGTTTATTTGAATAATTGTAATTACATCAATGTTTTAAGGAAGGAGCAACGTGGTGGATAGTTAGAAAATGGAAATGTTTTACAATGATAATAAAGTAGCAGCTGAACAGGAAAGTAAGGGAAATACTGACATTCAAATGGTTATGGATCAGAAACTCTCAACGGAAGGTCGAAATTTCAAGGAAAGATTTCTAGATAGCAATCAGATGGAGATAGTTGACGAAGAGCATGAAAATGACAAATGTAATGATGATGAGGTCGTGGAAGATGCGCTAGAAAGGACAATAAACGAAGTTGCAGAGGTATCTAATTTAGTTATATTCACACTATGTCCATAGTTATGTCTTAATGTAACTGATGGTTCCTCGGAGAACTTTGTTGCATTACAGCGACACAAAATTAATTTTTATAGTTTTCATTGTTATCTTTAGTCGTGATTTGCAGACAAGTTTGCAAAGTGCTGCTGTTGAAGGAGAGGATCTGACGAATGAAGATTCGAAGTATGTTGACTTTAGATATGAAAATCACAAGACTTATATTCTGGAAGATCTTCCATGTTTTATGATTTTAGACTAAATTAAGACTATTAACGAGTCTGGATTAATTCAGACACTGTTCTTACTTCGGCTCATTGATATTATCTGTAGATGGACTTTCAAATACATTCAAAATTTTGCTTCCAGATTTCTAATATGTGATATTGATGACCCGTTACCTTAATTCAGTCTTTACTTACATTATAAACTTTTGCGTAATGATTCATTAAATACGCATTTAATTGGAATTTTGCTTTTTGAAATATGAAATATGTGTTTTTTGAAATATGCATCTTTCTCTTTATTTCCTGTACAGATACCTTCTATTAAGGAAAAATGAAGCTCTTATGTAAGGCTCATTTTTAACTTAAATCAGTGAAAAGAACTGATATCTTATTAAGGAAGAAAGGCAAATACGACTGGGATGCACCGATTGTTAAGGATATTGTCCGACGAGTTAAAAATCATCGATTATCTCATGCCAAAGCAGCTGAACAGCTCTCTCTACTAATGGATGCAAAAGTAACATCTATTGGAGTTCGGTTACAAGTTGTCAAAATGGCGAACGATGAAGCGCTTGCAGTGAGTAATATCCGTGCAATTTTAAGATTATAAATCAAATCCATTATGCATAAGCGTCGACTGTGTATGATGTGATACTGAAATTTTTGACTTGTATGCACTTAGGCATTTCAGCCCAAATAAGCACGAATTGTAAATACGAATTGAAGCGTAAACAGGTAGTATACATGCCAGAAAAATATTTCGGATGTGCTAAAAGAAAACTAAATAACATGCCTGCATGCAAGCAAATGCAACTTAAATTACAAAATGTGTAGTTTTCTAGTTTTTCAGTTTTTGGTTTCAGCCAAAAATATTTTTGGATAAAAGCCACAGGATATGGGATCCATGAATCTTTGATTTTCTCTTTTGACAGAAATCAGAAGTGACTTGTAACTATTTCATGACTGATTTATAGAAGCAGGATCAGCGGAGCAGCTGCGTAAAGACATTCAAAAATACCAGTTCCTCCCCAGGTAAAGTTACAAGCAAAGTAGCAGATGCATCAGCGAGAGGACGTGAGAGTAGATCACCCGTTTCTTATCGTACCAGAAGCAAAACTGGTGTCAAACAAAGTGCAAATAGCTCACAAAGTAGGAAATCGGAAAATGGTACGGAAATTCACGTTACACCATCAAATATGGGCGAGGTTAACAGTCAGTGTACCGGGGATACTAGTAATGGAATTAGGTAATGGTTTTTGTTTTGACATTTTTTTGAATAACATTTTTTTTAAAATTTGCTTGAAACTAACTAAATTTATGCAGTTTGATGCACGCTCCATAAATTTTAGGATGTTTTTGAGAAAAAAGAGTGAGGCGATAGAAAGAAATATTTTTACCTTCTTTTAACTTTAATTTTGTCTCTGGAATATTTCTTTTCTGGTTAATATTTTAGTGAAACTGTCTTTCTATAGAAAATGTGGGGTGAAAATGGTATGACCTATTTATTGTTCTTTGCGCCTATCAGATGCCTGTTAGCAGCTTTCTTGAATCTTAACAGTTTTACGGTGGTGATTCTAGTTAGCTAACCCATTTAGAAAAACGAAAAAGAACGAAACGTTTGCAGTTTGCCAGTGAAAACAATGCAGAATGATGCTGCAGATAATCAGCTTTATTTGCCTATCATCATTTCACAGCCAGCATCCACAGCAACAATGACTACGAAAATGGTACCACCAGTCATTCGGCTTTTGGATAACGAAGGGAAATTGACACATATTGCGGTTGCTGAAAATGGTAGCTACAAATTATATCGTGTCAATGAAGGAGGTGCAAATGCCGAGCATATGCAGATGGTTAATCAAGCTATGTCGACTGGTACTGCTTCATGTATGTGTTGGAGAAAAACATTTTTTTCTAAGCATTTGCAAAAGTTTTTTTGTTACTTTTTTACTTTCAATTAGCAAGTAAATTAAACTAAGATCGGAGACTGATTTTTAATGAACAGTCGGATGATTAACTGCATTCAACTTGAAGTTACGCTACTACAAGAAAAACGCTATGTAGATTCTCATTGCGTTCCGATATTCATGTTTCTGTCAGGAAGAGTTTACAGTTTTTTTTTCGAACTTAAGTTATTCAGCCATCTTGGCTCGTTAATCTGTGATTTTTTGTACTTTACTAACTTCTTCGTTTCCTCACAAATAGGTTCCAATGTTGTATTAATATATTAAAGTGTAAAATGATTCTTTGGCATTTGGCTTGTATCATCTTTTTCGTCCAGTGTCAGTTAGGAATCTTAATGGTTGAATTTCCTCCAATTTGATTAAAAATTTTTAGCAATTACTGTATCTTCTGCAAACAGTATGGCTGCACCGGGCACCCAGGAAACGACGAAGCCGGAAAAAAATATGGCTCCTAGTTGCAGTGCGAATTATTACATCGAGAGTGTTCCAGCGCAGCAAACTTTGGGAGCTCTGGTGGGTATACCGAAATTCGTCAATCCGCAACGCTATGGTGGAAGTAATGTATACACCAGAACAATTGGACCTGTACGTTATCCTTGTAAACGCCTCAATCTTCTTTTTTTTTTTTTTCTGTTCAATCTTTTGATTTTATGTAATTTTGTTAAAACTGAATCTCTGACAACTCATATATGGTATTTCAACCTTTAGAAGTTGTGAAGTAAACGAAATGTGCTTACTTTGAGGTTTCAATATATAGAATAACAATAAAAAATGTTCTTTTCCAGGTAGGCGCAACTAGTACCACGCCATGTTCAGTCGGAATGCGGTAACTTTTTTGTAGTGTACTGAAGATTTTTTCAAAAATATCATGTGTGGTTCATAAATTCAAAGCTAGGATTAAACCATCGGTTCATTTATTGCAACATATTTTTTGGTAGTGATAACACGGATAGACGTCAATTTATTTTTATTATAAGTATCAATTTGTTTCAGGTCTCGAAGTGAAATAAAAGAAGAAGTTAAGAGATTGATTCGCTGCTTGAAATCTCAACATATTACTTGTGAAGAAGCTGTGAAACAACTATTCGAATTTGTTGCGCTGAATCCATCAAACATTAATTTGCCTGCAACAAAGGTAAGTTGTTTCTTTAATGAAAAGTAAAGATGATTTGAAATTTTGTAAAATTTTCCAAAGGAATTTCTGCTAAAATATTGTAGGTCCCATCCCTATCTACAAAAGCATATTTTATATTTCAGTAATCCCTACAGGTTTTCATTGTATTGAGATCAGGACGTGTTAAAATCATGCATGGTCTAGCTCGTCTCAATTTAGTCGAATTGCAGGACTAGATCGGGGAAGCATTTTGTCTTTTAAGATACAGATAGTTGTTGAAATTTGAAAGGATGCATAATTTGCGGTGATTCTGATAACTTTACGATGGATTGGTCAAATGCAAATCATCTAGATTAAACGAACTCATTTTGTGCAAGTCCTGCTTTTCCAATACATTAAAAACAATTTATTTGTAGCAAATGAATGATGCTGACGAAAACAAGCAAAAAGGAGATAACAGGTCAGATTTGCTCACTTGAAGAATGAAGTGTTTATACAACAAAGTAGTCTTGCTTCTTGGATTGAATCGATTATTTTGATCTTATGAAACCTGCCAGTCTCAGTGGTATCCGTGGTTGGAGAAGTGAGCAAGGTGGTGTATATGCGCAAACTAGCTGATGTGGGATAAAAAGTGTCTCCGCTTTGTTGTTCCACGATTATGTGACACTTCTCAGAATGTGTGTGATCAGAGGATTCTAATATGAGAAGCTGTGATAATTTAATAAGTTTGTTGAGTAATTGGGAAATGTGTTAGTGAAAAACTTATAGAACTGAAATATTAGCATTCATTGCAGTGTAGATTACGAGACAACATTGCAACGCGAATGTAGTGTTGAAGATGGAAACGAACCGTATACAAGGCTAGTTGATGAGCAAGGAAATATGAACATTGCCATTGTGGAAGGTGAAGGTTATCGTGTCTATCGGTTGAATAAGACAACGCAAAATCGCGAATTATATAAATGCACCGATTGTGATTTATTACATAGAACCAAAAAAGATCCAGTAAGTGTTGCATGATATAAAGACTAGTTTCTTTGCTCATTACACAACAGAGAGCTTTTTTTGTAAACTAGTATAAATAGATAATGAACAATATCTGTACAGTGTCGATGAAGATTCGTGGTCATTGTTTTGGAGCATGAAGAAATAATCTGTAGGTGATAAGTTAAATTTATTTCTTCAATAAGTGTCTATAAGAAAACGACCCTAATTTGTCGAACAAATTTGTCAAAGAATTTCTTCATCTCATTTATGCTGCGGTTAAAAATCTAATTTCAAAAATACTCTCTATTTGTCAGGAAATTTTTTTATTTTTTCAAGATTGCGATAGTTGAAATTGTCGATAGCATATTGGTTGGTGACATCCATCCTTCACATCATCCAAGGTGTCCCTTGCAAACGCTCTCAGTAAAAGATTGCGAACAAAATTCGATGAGCGATGAACGAGAATCTTTGTTATTCCCTGAAGCGACAACGGCATGTTTTTTTCTTTTTATCAATTTTCGTACATTTAATTCAGTAGAGGAAAACTGACTCTAAAATATTTCATGCACTTTTTTTTGCTAATCTTTATTTTTTTATCAGGATGTCGAAGAAAGTCGAAGAGGAGGCGAAGCAAGAAAAAGTAGTAGTGCAAAACGTGCACCAAAGCAAAATAGTCGAAAAAATCGACAAGCGACGAAATCACCGGTTAGAAAAAGACCTCATATTGTCCCGGAACGAAGTTTGGGAATGACATTAAGAAAACGAAAAGCAAGGACCTTAACAAGTCCGGGGATTTATGACTCTGAAGTGATGAGTTAAAAGTAAATTTCCCTTCTTTAGGTTTGTATGTTGCAATATGATTTGAGCAACAAGTATGTTATGTGTTCTCATTCCGTGGGTACTTGATGAGTTCGAGAATGACAGAATTTCTGATTCACTGGAATGAAGGAGAATTTGTGTGAAATTCAACCTGTACCTATGGATATTGTTTATTGAGGTTTTATTTTTGAGCAGCGCGGAATCTGCATGAATAGTTCACAACTATAATGTAACTCTGCTAAAAGCTTGCTTTAAATCCAGTTCATTTGATTCCTGTCGTTTTCTGATGGGGGAATAGTAAGTATTCGTGAGAAAGAGTAAAGGCAAAAATTTGATATTATAATATTTATATCGTGTTCACAAGGTAAGGTTGTAACCAACTTCCTGTGGTTGCAAAGTTAATTGAACTTGAGAATATTCGAGATAATCAGACAACTCAGGCCTTGTCAAGATTTTGAAAGAGTGGCCAATAATGACAGTTGAGGTTTCCGAAAGTTAGTGGGAAATAAGTATCGAGGTCACTATAACGATGTTCGATATCGTTTTCATGTTTTGTGTCTGAAACAGCCATCGTAACAATGAGTTGTTTCATGTTGTTCCTTTCATATCCTGATATGATGTATTGGTAAGAGCATGATTGAATATTATTATTTGCATGAAAATTTTCACAATTACATTTTGTTTGATATTGTTTCTTAAAATATTTCTGAAACATTTCCTTTTTATCCTTTCTTTTTATATAAGCAGAAAGTATTTGTATCAGTTTGCCGTCATATCTTTCATTTTGCTAATGTTATGGTTTGGAAATACAAACAGTGGAAAAATTAGGGTTATGTGGGAGAACATAAGAAGAGTAGAACAAATGATTGCGTTGTTTTTACCATTGTTTCAGAGCCATTTTTTGGACCATTTTATTTTGAAAACGTTGCGGTGGGGGAATAAGATCAGCTTGTCAGTCATTCATTTGACCAGGAAGGTTAATTTGAAAATTAGCTAACATAAAAGTTTTTGCTTACAGTTAAGCATATTTGGAAAAGGATTCATTTGTTGGTAGGAAAAAGAATGAGTGAAGATTAAAAGCGGGATATGCCTAGCAATGATGAAAGTTTTTAGCTGCTACACTACGGTATTTTATAGGAAAATGATCCTGAATGATTATTTAGATCAAGTAATTCTACATAGGATTACTGCAAAAGTATTTCATTAACGTCATTTCATTATATTAAAAACAGATAGTGAATTTTCCTTTTTTTTTCCGATTCATTTTCATACTCCTTGGTGCAATTGTATTCCATTTATCAGTCGATCAATCTGCTAAAACAAGTTTTTGCTATGAAAAAAAGATATCCTCGTACAATAACTGAGTACCTTTTATTCCTTCTAATAAAATATAACAAAAAAAAGTTGATATTCAGAAAAATGCTTACAATAATTGGAAAAAAAAGAAAGGATATTTGAATTCGTCTTGACAGTAATTTACAAAATTAAACTATTAATATCCAGGGAGGTAAATAAACGGATAAATGACAGCTCTGGTTAACATCAAACATCGTTTTTTATTTTTTACAGTGAAAAAATTAGAACCATGCGTTGGGGAAATTTGCTAGGTTAGATTGAGGTATGGTAGGGACATAAAGGATGAGAAGAAAGAGTGTTGGGAAAGATTCGGTAATTTGATTATTTAGTTACCATTATGGTATGCAAAAATTAGACTTTATTGGTTTTTTCACATAAATGAGGAAAGGGTATGAAATTTTAAACCTTTCACTGATATATTTTATTGAAATTAGAACTTGCTAATTTTACTGAGGAGAGAGAGACTTCTGGGAAAAAGCTTGGGATAAAATCACCTTCTACATTTCGTGATAAAGCAATTGAAAAGTATATCATTGATACATCCTAGATGTATCAAATCTTTTGAATGAAATATACATTATTCACAGAATAAACAATATGAATCATAAAGTGATATGTTTCATCCAGAATTCCCGAGATGGCTTCTATCGACTGGTAGCTAATTATCCGAAGCGGAATCGTGACATTTTGGCTTAAAAGAGGAGGCAGAGGAAAAGTCAGGGGAGAGGGAGGAGGGAGAGGAAAGCAGAAATCATGTCTCAAAATGCATATTCCTCAAAAAATTGTCACAATTTATTTCAACAGCCATCCCGCATGTGAAGGGGGAAGAATGTATGTTTTGTGGGGAGTGCAGACAATAGAAGAATAGATGATAGTGTATTTGAAATGGAGAGTGAGATTAGTGGTTGGAGGTTAGTTTGTCGCGAAGAATATGCTAAGATTGTATAGGGACAGGTTAGGGTGCGGTACAGGGATAGGTCCAGATGTTTGATTAAAATCTTGGCGTTTCTGAGATTTCCATATTAGTGGCAGTGTAGGAATTATGGAAGGAATGTGTATATTTGAAATTTTAAACTATTTCACGAGATATCATGCCGCGGAGTACCGGTCTATTCAATTGAGTGATAAATCTGATAGGAAATATGCTTTAGGATATGCAGATTTGGGATGCATGTTACTCATTCTGTCCTTTTTAGTTTATGATCATTATTTTATTAGTAACAATGTAGGAACCATGTAAGGATAATGTAGAAGTGCATATGTTTGAAGTTTTAAACTATCTTACATGATATCATGCCGCGGAGAACGGGCATGAACGGGCGGAATCAATCTCATCAGTATTATTCAGCTAAGTGATAAATCTAATAAGAAATATGTTTTAAGATATGCAGATTTGGGATAGATGTTGCTTGTCCTTCCTCTTCCAAATTATGATCATTATTTCCGTGTCACCATATAATTTTTGAACTTTTCTGATGAGATTGATGACGAGACATCCAAAATCCTTTCCATTGTTGGGTTATTTTCTAATTGCATTCATTCTTTGAATATTTACAATACGATTATAGCTATTTGCTCAGTTACCTGTTACACGGTTTTGCCACATACTTTTTTAGTTTTCTTGATGGTTCGCAGACAAATCTAGCTTTTATCACATTTGTTATCACTCTGTTGGTGTCTTCTTAATCCTTATTTACCTTTGTTTTCATTTCTTTGTCAGTATGATATGATAATTCAGCTACCTTTTTAGTTTTAGACTTGCTTATTTTTTTTCCTAGTTTATTTCCCATGTCCATCTCTTTCATAGCAAAATTATAGGAGTATTATTCCATATCTTTTCTAAAAATTCTTGTAGTAGTTGTTTTATTCTGAATACTGGTTGATCACAGTATATCCTATTCTTTTTGTCATGATTTTATCATTTCCATCCACCAATACTCTGTTTTTCACCCCCAACTTTTCCGTACCTTCCTTTTTTACATTGTCATTCCCATTCTTCTTTTGTCTCCTATTTCATTTTTCATTAAATTATATTTTAGGTGTACTAGTTACTTGTTTTACGTTAACATGAGAGAAAAAGATGTAGTTACAACTGCTGTGCTGGAAATGAGCATTTAACATTGTAACGCTCTAAACTATCCAGGCAACAGTACTGTTTTACATTTAACCATTATTTGTTGTACTTAGTTATCTGGTTACATATAATCTAAAAACAGTTTTTCCAATTGAAGGATACACGTGGAAGTCCATGAGATCACGTGATTTATTGTTAGTTTACAAGAATGGCAGAAAATAACGCGAAATGGTTGGATGCATCGTATTATCAAAATATACCGAATTCGGAAGGTAAACATAGCAAATGCATGTGGAATTAAATCTACTGATCAGTTTGAGATTTAATGGAAGTTCAAATGTGAAAATCGTCAAGTTAAAAAAAACTGACTGTAAACTTTTTCCACGAATTCTTTTTCGAAGTTTCTTTTTTAAATCAACCATTTCAGACACTGGAAACACTGATAGGATAGAGATAAGGAAATAAGGATAGGGTATACTTTTATCGTACCGAGGCATCCTGGTTTTTTTATTCGTGGATTTATTGAAATGGTTTTGCATGACTAATGTGAAACCTGTTCGTACTTTATGCTTTGGAAATCCCGCATCATGCCATTATCCAAAGAACTTTTAGAATAAACTGAATTTACATAACGCGAATTTTGGAAACACTTTCCTTCATATGGTTTTTGAATTAACAATCAATAAACTACAGTGAATTGGGCGCAACTAGCACAAAAATGGATGCAGATGCGAGATGCCGGAGAAGTTCCACCAATAACATCGGATGATTGCATACCGCCACCGCCAAGCAAGGAATTACCACCATCACATCCGCCACCGGCACCCGATGGACTACCGGTAAATGGGTCTTTTTTGCCACCTGGTGGGTATTTGCCTACTATGCCTGTTGGTACGTTTTCGAATTGTATTGTTTGCTTCAGTAAACTTCAAAACTTTAGTGAAATCATATATTTACATGATATTGCCTGATATTTGCTGTTACTAAGTCTACGTAGTTTTGTTTTATTCATGAAAATTTCAGATGCAAATTTTGCTGCACCATCGCCTTGTTGGATGCCACCCTTACCGCCAAATAATTTTGGACCTCCAGCTGGTGGTCCGTTTCCTCCTTTCATGTCACCTGTTCCGCCATGGATGGGTGCTACACCGATACCACCTGGTCCGTTTCCTCCGGTGCCCCCTTATGGTGAACCGAAGCTAAGTATTGACGAGGAGGAAGGGGGTGAGGCAAGTTTTTTCTCGTCATTTCTGACTTGCTGTATCCTTAATGCATTTTGCTTTACTTTGTCTGACATGTTCAGGTTTTTATTTCGTATGTCTGGCTTATATAGGACAGTTATTATTTCGCTGAGGTAAGTCGAAAATGGTTTGTAAGGGCACACTAAATAACTTTGCATGCTGATAAGTTTATAAGCCAAGTGTCGTATGGATAAGCCGGGTATCATTAGATTTTAAATGATTATGTTCCAGTATTCGCATTATTACAAAGAATGGGATGAAAAGCAGAAAAGCGGTCGGCGAGACAATGATTCAGATGATTCGGAAACAGTTCCTGAAGGTGCTATGGCTCATTGGCTTAAGCCAGGTCCTGGTTGGGTGCCACCGCCAAATTGGTATCATCCATCACGTCGTGATTCTCCTTCAAACTCTCATTCTATGCCTTTCATCGGTTAGTTTGGGTAGTCTGATCTATTCCTTGTTACTTTTTAGACTAAAGCAAATGATGATAACGTTGGCATTGAATCAGCATGGTGTTTTCCAGCAGTGTTGAAATTTTTTCTTTTTTTTTGAGATCAACAGACACGGAAAGCTTTGCCAGCCTGGATCCGTGAAGGTTTAGAAAAAGCTGAGCAAGAAAGGCAAAAGAAACAGACGAAAGAAGCTAAATTGCGAGCTGCCGAAGAAGCGGCAAAAGCTCGTCGTGCTGCTAAAGGATTGGGAAAGTTTGTAAGTTCATGTATTTTTTTGATTGTTACACAAATATGTTAGGAGTTTATATAGAGAACAGTTTTTATCATTTATTATACACGTTACAGTGACTTCATGCTGAATGAGTTTTAGGATTCTGATAGTAGCGAAGACGAGAACGGAACTGAGGATGGAAAAGAAAAAGTTAGACTTGATGAAGAGCCAGTATTCCTCCAGAAAAAGAAATTGGAAAAGCAACAAGAACAACCAGCTAAAGACACAACGGAAATTGACTGTCGAACCGAAGAAGAGACACGAGAAGATGCAGTAAGTATTTAGATATTTTTACGCGCTCTGCTTCTGTCATCTTTAGAATGTGGGTTAGCTGAAAAGATGGGAGGAAAGGAGTAACTTGCTATTAAACGTATAATCAAGCTTATAACATATATGCTTTTAATTATACTATGTCTTACATTTTTTACACTGTTAAATATTTTATATTTGTTATGCTGCCATACTACATCTTATTCTCTTTGTTGTTTAACAGAAGAGTTACTGTTTCGCGAATTGTAATATCCATTGTGTTTCATGCTATCATAAAGGTTGGTCACTTTAAGTTGGATATATCTCGATTCGCGACATAGTATTCTCTTGTGAAACTTTTGCAAGAAAGAATTCGAGACCGGTTCTTAAGTCGAATTTCTGTAGTTGTTTGAAAACGTAAACCTGATGGATTTATTTAACAGGAATCCATCTTCAGATTGTTAGTATGCTGTATTCAGCCATTTATTCTAATCTAACTTTTTGCAGCTTATGCTTTTGCGACGTTTCATGACTGAAATTTTGCTGGAAACAACAGATGATGAATTGAATCGTATTGCTAGGGAACAAATTGAACATGCTAAACGTTCTGGTACATATTTTCAACTTTAATATTTAACCTCAACAAGTGGTTCACGACTTTTTTTTTCTGGCCATCCGTCACTTGAAATTGTCTCTGCAACAATTTCTATCTTTTTTTTGGTTTCTGAAAATGCAGCGATGATCAGAGTTAAAAAATGTCCTAGTTTCCAAGGTAATATGTTAAATTATTCGTGCTCATCTTAAAACTGGCAGACAAGTCGCTTCCTTCTTGTGACTTCTGCATTTTAACGCCGTAATTTCGATTTTGAAAACGATCGATTAATCAAGTTGAATGTATGTTTAGCCCAGCCAAAAGTTCTCGCCCAAAGTTCGGCTCTCGCCGCTTTGTGTACACTTGGTAAGCTTTTACTAGATTTTATGTTCTTTTTTTGACTAGTTGTTTAAACATTCATTATTTCTAATCATACTCTGGTGATTCTGTTCTGAGGGTTCGTGTTTCGCATATCCAATACATGTTTGCCAAATTGCTGCTAGTCAAAGTTCAAATTGCATCATATTGAATATCTTGTCAGTGCCTGTATTCACAGGATTTCTTTTAAAATAGGACATTGTTCCCCATCCCACATCGTAAGCCTTTTTGAGTGAAATGACGCAATCAGCTCGAATTAATTAATCATTACAGTCTTTGATTGTTACAACCTTGAGCATGCATTCAGCTAGTGTGACGGTTCGAGTTTGTTTGTTTGTCATTTGTTTTCATTTGGTACGACTTATGACCTTCGTCAAGCTCAATCGTCCTAGCTTTCAGTCCGACCTACAAAATATGATAAATTAAATTTGGTAGTTTTCTGACATTATCAGTAATGCATTTACCCATCCCTTACCTAACGTCATGCATAAACGCTTTATTTTATTCATTATTTCAAAACTGCGATCAGTTTAGGTGCTGAAAGCGATGATGAATCGAGTGAAGAAGTTGAAGTGAAGCAGCTGGACGAATCGAATAATAAAACGAAAGGCGAAGAATTCCTGAAGAAGTCAAGTATTGTTGGTGATGGTAATGGTGGTGGTAATGATGATGCTTTGTTCAGTGTGCCACTTCTTCCAATACTATCTTCGGGTGCTAAGAGTAAGGCCAAGTTAAGTAGCAATGATGGATTCTCTTCTACAGAATCATCCCAAGGTATTACTATGCATCTCAGTCCATGTGACACACCTCACTAATACATATACATCTTCAGTTGGAAACCAAGGATAAACCACCTGCCGTGGGTGCCAATTTTTCAATTTTCAAACAGAAAAATGCTTCATCCACGGAAATGAGTAAAAACTTAAGGATATTTTAAAGTACATATGGTTTCCTTTCCATTAAGGGCGATATTTTGAGGATGCAGATTTCTTCGTTTGCACTTATTTTGGAAGGCTTGGCACCCGTGGATTTTTTGGGGTGTGGATTAACTTCCATGCTCTTCACGCGTTTATCGCAATACTTATAGGTATGGCTAAATTGGATTTTTTTTTTTTCAGGTGTTGAAAAGAAAGAAACTGCTATCCAGGAAAAGAAGAATGGCAATGACGCATCGTCACGTGTTACGGTTCCGAGGAATGAAAATGAAACACACAGAGAAATAGGTTGGATTTTAAGGCATCCTGATTTCTGAAAAAAATTTCTTTTTCTGTGCTAGCACGAAGGATAATTGTAGTTTAAATTATTGGATGATCATTTTATTTCAGTACTGCTTGATACACATTGGACGTCTTTTTCTTATATTGATAATGATATGTTTTTTGTCTTACATCAAGACCATGGTTAGAAAATATGAAACAGTTTAATGCTAAAGATCTAAAATTTTTATTCTATTCTCCTCGAAAATTTATTTGGTTTCATGTGCCACATGCAGTGGCATTCGTTGCATAGTATATCTAGTTTAGTTTCTGATATATTAGTATAGTGTTCCGGTCAAAAAGAGAGTAATGTTTTTCAAGTGGAACTTGTGTTTTGACTACGATTACTGGGTTTAACTTAACTCATTTGACTAATATTACATTTTCGCATTTTTTGCACATGGATGTGATCTCCAGCGTTCATTTAAACGCTTCCAGGTGAAAAGAAGTCCGATTCCATTATTGACGAAAGCAGTAAAAAAGACAAGAAGGAAAAGCATAGTGAAGGGTTAAAGAAGCAACATGAGCGAAAGAAATCACGAAGTAAGGAACGTTCAAAGAAACGGTAATCAACTTTTTTTTCTTTGAAATTTTTGTAAAAGATTTTTTATCTATTGCTGCACCCTTTGTGGAACCATTGATTCTGGCTTTATAAATTTCCACCATGATCATTTGGTCATTTGACTTTTTTCGAAAAATAAATTGAATGTTAAGGGTTTTGATGGACAAACTTTTCGATATTTTTAATTCTTATTTTCGAGTTTTTCAGGCGACGTGGTAATAGTAAGGAAGACTCGACGAAAAAAAGCACAGATCGTACATTAGATGCGTAAGTTCATTTAAGAAATTTGATTTTGAGAATGGGTTTGTGCGTATTAAAATTAAATGGAATCTTTCTGCGTTTATATTTATTCAAATAGCACTATAATTGCTTCAGATCGGATAGTGATAGAAGTGAGTCCCGAACTCCCGAACGTTATCGTCGGAAATCAACCAGTAGAGAGTCTTATCACAAACGGCGTCGTTCAAGAAGTCACAAAAGGTTGAGGTCACGCTCTCGATCACGTACTAGAAGAAGTCGAAGGTATGCATGTAATAATATGTTTGGAAAACAGAATCCGAACATTTAGTATCAATGATAAACATAAGCGTTTATGTTAAGTGCGTGTTATAACATGTCTTCAGTTCTTTAGGTTTGAAGAGCGACGTAATTCACGTTCACGAAGTCGTGAAAGGGAACGATCAGGCGAAAGGCATCACCGAGATAGGTATTGCAGAAGATCGCGTTCATAATCTAGTTCCTATCTTCTACCTATATATATATATATATATATATATATATATATATATAT